TCTTTCTCGTCTGCCGTCTCCGTCTGGTGGGACGTGGACCTGGGAAGCTCCCACCGTCACTGTCTGTCGTGTTGACTGCCTCTGCTTGCAAGGAAAGCTGCCAACTATACTTCGTTTCACCTTATAGGTTCACACGCAGCCGACGTACGCTTCGAGCTCATGGGACAATTCAGAGAACGTCAAAAGCGGACCCATCGTGGTGTTCGTCATGTTTCTCTACGTTTTCTATCATCGCTGAACCAATCATAAGCAGAAAAGGCCTAGTGACTTGCGTTCTTGGCGCTGCTTGATTGGTCCCATCACCTTGTAGCGCCGGCTGCGCCTGGACTTAAGCTGAAACGAAGGAAAGAGAGGCGCCACTTTAGACTAAACATAAAATAGGCAAAACAGCGCAGAACGACGAAGGCAAGAAGGAAGGAACAACCAAGACGGGGCAGGGGCAGACTCACAACTAAAGATTTTATTACAGAAAACATAAAAAGTAAACACGTAAGGCGGCAGTCTACAGATATGTCAACCTCTCTGCCTCATCACAGAGGGCACCGGTCATCCACGTGCCGCGTGGATGACCGGTGCCCTCTTTCTCAAATAGCGTCATCGACGACTCGCTGATGCACTGCGCGCCGCTCCCTCTATGTAAAGGGCCTCTATCACTTCCCTCGTCACCTTGTCTATCTATAAGTGTGGTCTCCTCAAAGGACATGCCAGGTGTCTGAAGGCCACTTTAGACACCTTGGCCGCAACTATTCGCGACTCCAATTCACTATAGGTGGCGCCACTCGTTTTCCAAAATGGCGGTTATAGTGGTGCCGGTGTACGAGTTGCTGAGCCTGTCTAGTGTGCCGGCCTCACTGAGCGACACAAATTACTCCTTCTTATACGAAGAAGCTAGGGTGTTATGAGCGCAGGTCACATCTTTATCCTGAAAACAAAAAAACCTTGTATAGCGTAATGTTTACGCCAGGAAGCGTTTTAATTCTGAAACAAAACCGAAACTAACCTCAATTCTGGATATAATTACTCGGTATAGGTGTTGATTTCGGATTCTTTCGTCACTCAAGATGTGTTTCACAGCCTAATTATTGAGCCAAAGAAGTTCGCGAAAACTTTATTTTGTGACATACGTGTCCGATTCAGGCATTTCAAATTATTTTGGAGAGTTCACTGTCCCTTTAAAGACGGTCTTTCATACAGCTTAGAGGTAACATAGAATGTTGCATTTGTTGAAAAATTCGGTGCTGATATTTGTGTGTTCTTGCTGCCTTTTCTCGCTCAGATAATTATTATGTGAAATAATGAACTGTGGGCCTTTAAATGGGATTTTGGGTATTTAGATAATTAATTGAATTAACATTATTGCGAACCAATCCAAATTTCAGAACCAATCCAAATTTTATTAAATATCGCCACGGATGATGCGTTCAAACTATGTTCACAAAATGTATAAATTAAGAAACGCGCTTCTCACTGCAAAAACCCAAAGACGATGCGAGTCACACACTAGACGCGTGTGTGTTTCTTTAAACCAACGCGTGACGCATGGGGACTTTATATTACATCCAGTGTTTGATTGTTTGTCTATTTTGATAGCGATGTCAGTTTTTCATATGCTAAAAGAAAACAAAATGAGATATTTCTGGAAAGTCTATTACGGTTAAATGGCGTATTTTTTTGTGATCGTGGCGTTTATTGGGGGCCTACCATATACCCCAAAACCCAATATAACTTTTCGCTATGTGGATTACGGAGCAAGAAATCTTACTGGATTATATCTGGATTTCGTATATAATTTAATAATTAATAATAATACAATTCAGATATTTTATTACGTAGTTTTTCAAGCTCTCATATTATTTGTTGCTTATGATCTAAGTTCAGACAAAAAAAAAAAATCGAAACGGATTTTGTTGTTTTTAATTACCAATGTTCCCAGATCATTCAGCTTCTTCAATGTTTACGCGTCGTCGTTTTGCCAATCTCAGCCTTTCCAGTTCGAAGGAACGCCTATTCGCTTGCACGTCTGCTCACAGCATGCAGACCGTTTCGTTGGCGTTGGAAACTGGTGGAAGAGTAGTGAGTTTTAGTCAACGTTACTAAAACACTCAGTTGGGAAACTCGCCGTCGAAACCTGGGCCGCTGGCGTCCACCGAGACCGAGCTAAATGCGACAACAGCGCCACTCTTTATCGTTTGTCTGTACTGTGGTCCCCTTGAGCTTTTTGAAAGCCTGTTTTTGCGTAAAAACAAACGGAAAAAACTCTTTTTGTATGGAATTTATTGGAGTTTAGTACCAAATGATGGGCGCGTGATGTTTTTATCATCTTTAGTTCGCAAGGTTTTGCGGAACAATTAATATTGTTTTCATACAACCATGCCTCAGCGGGCCTTTCAGGTAGCACGTCCTGACCTAGGTGCATTTTAACGTCAGTAGTTGACCGCGGCGCGTCCGCCGGGGAGACGGGGGTGGCACCCCTGTAACCTCTTCCGCTGTATCTGTTCTTAAGCCAAAATAGAAGTCACGTGCAGTTCTTCGAGAGGCCGCTGCGGGAGAAATGGTGGCGTTGTGTTCGTCATTAGCTCGGTGCTCGGAGGCAGATTGGAGCCACTTTTACAAAGCTGTCTCTATGGGAGTTTCCCAACTGAGTGTTCTAGTAACGTTGGTTTTAGTATTGCGTATACGAGCGAACGCAAGGACTGTGTGTTTGCGTGTTCCACACTGCGCGTGCGCGGAGCCCGAAATTGCGATCTTGGATTGGAGTATGGCGAAGACGCGCATGCGCAGCGTGGAGCACGCGCCTCTAACGCAAACGCACACCGTTGCTTCTATACCAGGCACGTAGCCAGGGGGGGGCATGGGGCCCGCCCCCCCTTCTGAAACCTTCCATTTTGCTGGGACCTCCTTTCCCCCTCCCCCTCATACAACATTTTGTCATGGGCGCCCCACCCCCCCCCCCCCCCCCCCCCCCCCGAAACAAAATCCTGGCTGCGTGCCTGTCTGTTCTATACGCAATACTAAAGTTCTCTAACAATGTGCAATCCTATACCGGCTGCAGCACAACATTGAGACAGTGTAGAGTGTTGTTTGCATTCAGAATTGATTGCTCGTTAGCCATGATCGCGAGCTGTTCCGCCGTGCCTGCTGAGCAAGAGAACCGGGGGACCCTCTGTGTTTCCCGTTTCCGCCGCGGGAGGGCGAGCAACGAGCTGGACGGAAAGCGTTTTCTGCGATTTCGGATAAAGCTTCAGTCAGCTGGCAACAATCCTTAAAAGCACCAATATGGCTCAAGTGTCGTTACTCTGAAGCGCATTTAGTGGTTCTAAGTGCAACTTCCCTTTTAGTCGTATCCACCCGCCAGGGGGCGCGGGCTGCTCCCGGGACATGCTATGCATGAAATCCGAAGTGCTATGCAAAAAATCCGAAGTGCATGCAAGACTAGAAATAAAACAGCGCGGAGTAGGTAGGCTGGCTTTGGGGGCACATTGCAAAATGCCAAACCAGGGAGTACAAGGAGACATGGGATGGGCGTCTTTTGAGAGCAGGGAAGCGGTGAGCAAGATAGAATTTGAGGATCGGTTGAGACAAATGGACGGGGAGCAATGGGCACGAAAGGTTTTCAGCTATTTATACATGAGGAGTATAGGCGCAAAGTGGAGACACCGCACTAGGAAATTAAGAGGAAAGTTTTTAGGCTATAGTGGAGTTACGGAAGAGCAGGTCTCAGTTAAGAAGAAAGTCAAGGCCACAGAAAGAG